GCAGAACTACGAAGGAGGTCGACACAAACGACAGAACTGAGTGGTCGGTATGCACGAAACTTCTCAAAAAGGCCTCATTTAAACAAGTGACCTTAAAAGGCTGGTCGGCGTTAAGCCCGATCATAAGAAAGTGGGCGACTACGAATGACATGACAGTAACGTGTGAATGATCCAACTGCAGGTAAACTCACCAGTGTCATTGAGGCTTGTTGTAGCCGTCTAAAGCGTACTTTTAAAATGCAGACCACTGAGTTCAAAAACCGTACGGGCACACTTAGCTGAAGTGAAATATGGATTGTAGTTCCACCCTGAGTCCCACGAAGTGTTCGCAGCATGGTATAATTTTGTAAGTCATATAGCCACATTGTATTCCGTGAGGTTGATAACTCCCAATAGCAGTCCTGTACTGCTGTAGAATGCTGCCCATAATGTTTATAAGAGGGGTGTCGCAGAAATAACTTCTTTTAATCTCTTTTCAGTATCACTCACATTTATAAACTATGCACCTATTGCTAACCTGTTAATCGTTTAGGTCCTGTACCTTGACCTCGTGAGTATACCTCACGAGGATCAAATTTCGTAAGCCCCAATTATGTTGTCATATGGAATTTCTGCGTTTATTTCTTGTGGGTATAAGACGAACACTGAATAAGGTGGACATGCCCTCATAAGAACCATTTTCGTAAGTCAATAATCAGGCGTAAACGTCGGCAGCGTCAGGTTTATTAACCTCTGTCACACCAATTTTGAACGTACTCACCGCAATACCCCAAACTACTGAATTAAAACGAGTAGAAGGCATATAAATACGAAGTTCATTAGATGAATTCTTATATTTCAGTAGTGATTAGGCACGGTGTAAAACACTATCGCGTGAGGGTACTTAAGTAATTTTTAAGCGCGCAAGCACGATGCCACGATCTGCCAGTCAATATCGTTAGGTAACTTCCAAATCTTTAGCGTGTTTTTGCCTAAGATCCCTGGCAGTATAGTCTTCCAAAAGTTTGTAATCCTTTCACATAGTCGGCATTGACAACCTACGCATCAGGTAAAACGCGCCACACAATTGGAGCTATGCATACACGGGAACTTTCTGCCTCTGAGGATGGGTAGCCGAAACCACATCTTGAAACGCAGGACCAAAAATAAAGCCTCTTTCGGTGAAGGTCCTTCTTTTGAAACGCCCCCTGGAAACCACATTTTTACTACATTAGGTTAGTTTGTCCACGACCCCTAATATTCAGCACTCAGCCTACGGATCCGTTGGGTTTCGGCCCTCCGATCAACCAAGAGATTCAGCCGCAGCTTAGCAGCTTGGGGGTAGAGGCCGAAGTAACGTGGGATCTAAGTGAACATCTCCACCCACCGCACTGATGCAGCACACCGGGATTCTAGATTATTCCCCTACACAGTAGTTCGATCGTCGCCTCCGATGGCCACCGCCGCCACACGAGGTGGACGCAGAAGTTGTTGCCTCCTAAATTAGTTTGTTGTGACAGGCACTTGCGATGCAGCTACTTCGCTCCCCTGCCACTTTCACTGCCCATCTATTGAGGGCCGAAGTCAGGGTGCCAAACACTTGGCGTAGACACAGTACCTGACAAAGCTAAGCAGTCCGTCTTGACATGCCACCCCGACCGGATTCACGGACTCCATATTTGCCAAATTACAGTTAAGGCGGGCTCTCGGGTGCCACATAAGTGGGAGGGAATCTCTGGACACCGGTATCGTGATAGGATATTCTTCGTTAATTGCCCTAATTTAAGAGGATCTGCGAACGTGTAAGTGAGGAATTGGGGCCGCGAAGAAGTTTCAGGCGTGGGAAACTTTTCAGAAAATAACAACTGCACATAGATGTCTGCCTTACCACCCACTTTACTGTTTTCCATTTAACTGCTCCACTACTTGCTTACGTTTCTTAGTTAAAGTAAAGCGTATATTGTTGTATCGCCAATGAGAAAGGACATTCCAGTTATGCCTAACTCGCCTTTTTTGCTCGTGTGCCTATTCACTGTCTGTTTTTTTACAGACCGTCTAATGTACCGTTTCTTCAAATTTGAAAACCGCATGCAAGATTATCCTGGTGGGCCTTAAGACGAGTTAGAATGGACAGTGTTTTTAATAATAATGCACTTGGGTCGAATTCGCCTTACACATTCAGAAACGTGCAGTAACTCAGATCTGTCAAGTATTCACCATGAAGGAGGTTGAATTCACGAATGCTATCGGTTAAGTTGGAGTAAATGCTACTTGAATGCTAGGTAGATTCTGATGTCTATGACACATAAAAAGGCAAATAAGGCCTTTGAAATAATGCAATTCTCGGGAGGACATTACATATCAAGACCTGAATGTACACTTTTAGTTCAACTAGTTCAGATGTAAAGACCGCTGGTCGTTGACAGCTGCTTATTCCGAGAAGAAAAGACCATCTTTTTAGCCCCACTGCTGGGCGCGCCCATAGGTGGTGGTCAGTTGAACTGCCTTCAGTGAATGTAAATCGCGAAATATGAAGGCTAGCATCTGACGACTGAACACTTGCACATCATCAGTGGCAGTGTTGACAGGACGCGAGCCGTTCAAATCAAGCAAACCTACTACATTATGCAATTCCGCAGAGTCCGATGATGACATTTTGATACCACGAACATACTGCTGCCCTGTCGGCTGAATCATCGTTCGAAGGCTGAGTTAAGGACTTGGGAACCCGACTTCTGCTGAACTCATGAACCTACATGATAGGTGAGTTTTCAGGCACGCAGAACAAACTTATCGCCTTAGCGACGTTTGGATGTTTGGCTTTGCTTGTAATTTACTATGACAAATTATTGTAAGCTTGTTGCGGCCTACGAACTGCGCAAGTTGCTGGGTTCTGTGTCAGTTACCGCACGCTATCTTTCGGACATTTCACATATCGGCGGGAAAAATTAACTCGAGTCTTTTTGCTTTTTGTTGCATTCAGTGTATTCTTCACCATTGTAACATCCACTGGCTTAAAGGAAGTTGCTCTGATGAAACCCTGCTAAAAAATCCCGATAACTGGTAAAAGAGTGAGTTTAGAAGTGAATTATGACGAACAGGTGACGCAGAAGGCGACATATAGCCAACCACGTTTCCTAGATCTCTGAGCAGTTGTCGCGAGTACGAGTTAGTAGACCGGAAGTCCCCAGGAAATTTGGCGGTATGAAATGTTAGTTCTGATTCCCCAAACCTCGAAAACTTTCGGGCTCGCTTATATCTATGACGATATTCACTTTCCTTTTGCAATTTTCAGCCCTAAACTAACCTGCCATATACATAACTGCACTGTCTTGAGAAGCATTTGTACTTTCTGAATAGACTCCTGAACAATGGAGAAACATGGCTTAGTGATAGTAAAGGCGTAAACTGGCTCATTTGACCTGCAACCTGCAGAGAACATTCTTTCTTATGCAATAGCAGAAGCGCTCGATAAAATATGACGAATTGCCGATGTTAGGTAACTCCTTTCGTGAATGCGGTTTTCGAAATCTAATTTTAAGGCTGCAAGCCTAGGACGACCTCTTCAAGCAGTTGTAGTCCGTATATCAGAACAACGATGCATTACTCGTTGTTTAAGATCTGGTTACAAATGTTTCGCCCCTATGTGTTATATTGATACAGAAGAAAAATGGAGTTCCGGATAGTGACTGGGTGGAAATGTAATCGATCTCGGCACTAAGAGCTTTAATGACTTGACATAGGTGTTCATCTTGTAGCTGACTTATCTGTGCTGTCTAATTTCCGCACATTCGGGACATTCTAAGACAGTCAAGCCCCCGACAACGACCACCCCCAGCACCGGTGATCGCACTCCCGATGCCCCACTGCCGTTGATCGCCACCACCCTCAAAACCCCTGCCACAATCTCCGCGACGACGACGACGACGACGACTAGCACCTCTTCCACTCCTGAGACAATGAGAACACTCCCGACGTCCCTTTAATCACTACCCTTAGCACCACCGCCCCTCCCCCACATGAAATATGGTCTCCATCCCTACCTGTCCTCATTTCAATCGTACAGACCTGGTCGGTCACTTACGAATGCATCGCACTGTGACTGGCGAACCAGTGCCTCGGGCCCTGATATACACTCACCGCAGCCGCCTTTATTGTCCGCATCGGCCACGCACATTCACTCACCCTATTGGCCTATCCGGTC